AAGAATTCAGGGGAAGTTTCGCCAAGGGAGGGACATTTAGAGATGAACAGTGTGGTAGGACTGGAGCCCAGAGAGAAGATTCTGGTGCCACGGGCCAACAGGAACAACACTTCTGATGAGAACCACGTCAACTGAGCACAGAACCATGTGAAGTGCTCAGCCAGGCAGCTGTGCAGAGTGTAGTGGGTGACACATGACAGGAGCGGCAGGGCCAGACGTATGGACTTCTCCTGGGAAAGCAACTTAGGAAATGCAGGCAGTAACTTTAGTAGAAAAGGGGCAGAATGTGTTCAGGTTGTTTAAGACATGGGCCAGAGCTCCAGAAAGTGAAGGGGTGTGCAGATTTGTCCTGCAGTGTGCACGAAAGGGACAGAGCTCATACGCACATCACTGTGACAAACCCAGAGAACATGGGGTGTCGATGTTCAGAACCCTTTATAGAGCAAGAACACATGACATCTTGTAATAGTTAGACAGCAACACCGCTAATCACAAGAAGCACCACTTATCACAGGCCTGTGTCAGCTCTGGAGACATAAGGCACCCCAGGGACGTTATTTAAACCCTCTCCATGTTCTTCCCAGACTTATAAATGAGGGAACAGTTCCTACTTACAGAATGATTGTAGTATTTGTCCAATGTTAGTCATTGCTAATTATTAGAATAATGGTGACCTCTATCTCATTAAAAAGAAAATTTAAAAAAGGAACATTCAGTCTTTCAAAAACATGGCAGTTTCGAGAACATACAGCATTACATGGTTTATAGCAAGTCACACAGCTCAAGTGGGAGAGTTGATCTGTGACCCAGATCGTTCTGACACCGAAAGCATGTTTTTGATAATGCTACACAATGGCTCCAAAGGGAAGGAAGGGACCATCCCCCCACCTGTCCTCTTTTATTCAGGAAGGCTGAATGCTGGGAAAGCTGGTTCTGCTGCTAGTTTAGACTGCAGCTCAGGGAGGAAAGACTCTCATCTGGTAATAGCTGGGGTGGCAATGATCCTGACTATTCACTCCATCCCTCGTTAAGTGGGAACATATCCCACACCATGGAAGCATGGAAAGTTTGGTCCTTGAGGTGCGAAGAGTCATCAGAATAAGGAATCCTGTCAGAAGACCATGATGGAACTTGGTGGGTAGTAACCATCTTGCCATGTCACAAAGTGAGCATAAAGCTTGTGACAGACTTTTCTTAGAATGCCCTTGGCATCTGGTGAGACAGGGAGAATCCTTAGGGTCCAGGGCTTACAGACAGGAAAATGCCTTAAACAGATGGAATATATTACCTGAGATTGCACACCTACAAAGTGAGAGCGGTAGGATTTGAACACAGCTCTTTTCAGCTACACTGCTTTTTCCAACCTGTAGTGTTTGTCTCCATCTATGCTGCCCCTTCCATTTCATGCTCAGGTCCCTCTGATTTTTCTTTCCTCTGTGCTTTGATTGTCAACAAGCTCCCCAGAGACTGTACTTAAGTCTGTCAGTGGTATGCTAGATTCCCTTATACTGGCCTATGAGAGCACACTGCTGTGTTTTTAGGAATTTGTGATCCACATGTCACACTCACTAACTGAAATGGCCAAAGGGATTCTTCTTTTCAGAAATAGCTTCTCGTGTTTTGAAGACTGGCCTCAAACTTACTAAATAGCTGAAAATGACCTTGGACCTCTGATTTTCTTCTTCTACCTCCTGAGCATGGGGTTGTAATTGTGAACCGCCGTGCTTACTTTATGAAGGGCTACGGGTTGAACTCAGCTTCATGCATGCTAAGCAGATATTCTTCTAACTGTGCTACAGCCCAGCTCCATGAAGGACTTATTTACAGTGGAGAAATCAACACATGCTACAAATCAGGGCTCCACGATTCCCCTCCACTGACACAGTGACTGTGACCCACTTTTACCAGCATGCTTACCATTCTCTGCTAAGGCACTGCAGATACCAGAGACCATTTTACAAAATGCCTGGCAGGCCCAGGGAGCATCTGAAGCTATGCGTGTACATGACACCACCTGCAAGCCCTCTGTCTTTCTGATCCACTGCTTCAGTAGGATGGAGAAGGTTCTGGGAGCTCAGAACAGCAGTCACAGCACAGTTCAGGGAGACAGGCATATAATCCCCAAATTACATTCCTATTTAAGTCACAGTTCATGCCATTCAGAGTATATGACAGTGTGAGCCGATATTTACAGTTGGACTGAACACAAATGCTAGCATTTGTTCTCTTTTCGTGTGGTGTCACAGTTTGACAGAGAGTTGAACTTTAGGGAACACAATTTTACAGATGCAGAAGAGGGAAAAGGAAGCTAAGAGCTTAAGAGGGGTGACCCTGGCTTGTGCAACTCACGATGGGTGTGTGTCTCGCATCAAGAGCCCTCCTCTGATCTGGCTTTGATTCCTCCCTCAGCCTTTCCCATCACTTGAGGATGAGTACCTTGTGCCAGCCTGCCAGTTCCCTCGGGGATGTGAACACGACACACATTACAGCCAACGTTTCCCAGGTGCTGACGGGGTAACTATGCCATGTCTTAAAATGAGCTGCATGGTGAACTTGTCAACATCCGACTTTTTTCCATTTGCCAAATGCTAATTTCAATAGCTGAGCTCACACCCATTATCTGTGTCTGGGCCACGTTCCCATGAAATGGGGGCTACCATCATACCCACTTCACAGATGGGGAGGACTGAAGCTTTTACTGAAACCACAAGAGAGTTCTTCACACAAGTGCAAGGTATATATTTATAAGTGACGCACTGTTTTGTGCTCACTGATGGCCCCGGGCAATGTATACAGCTGAGGCATGTACAATAATAACAATAACTCAGTGACCATGAGTAACTAAAATATTCCCATAATCATTTTAAAAAGTTTCATAATGTTAAATATAAACCACTGGTATTAGAAAACAAGAAATTTGATTTTACACACAGACTGTTCAATAGACACACACACACCCATCATAGAAACATTATATACTACAAACAAAGGCCACAAAATGAATTATTTATAAAACTTTTTCTCTTTTTATTTCTGTTTTTGTTTGTTTTGTATTTTTTTTTTTTGAGATCAAGTCTTGCTCTGTATCCAAGGCTGACCTGGAATTCACCATGTAGCCCAGACTGTCCTTGAATTTACCTTGATCCTCCTGCTTCAGTCTCCTTAGTGCTGGATTATAAGCATATGCCACCAAATGCAGCTTGTGTTAGAATTCTTTTATGATTCTTAAGAAGTAAAGCGGGGTGGTGGCACCTACCTATAATCGAACACTCTGGAGGCCGAGGCTAGACTTCAAGTGCAAGTTTGGGTTATATGGGCGACATTATCACACACACACACACACACACACACACACACACACACACTCCCCCCTCAACAATAATTAAAGAAAATAGGACCATGAATTTGAAAGAGAGCAAGGAGGGTACACGGAGGAATTCGGAGGAAGAAAGAAGGAGGAAGTGACATAAATGACATTATAATCTCAAAAATTAAAAAATATTAAAAAACTTGTGAAAGCCTAAAATCCATTTTGTGAAATTATTTAAAGGTGTGTGACTATGCTTTCTTTATGAAATGTGAGCTTCATGTTTCATTCACAAAAACACAAACTTGATGCCATGTGATTTATTTGTTCTATATGGTGAATCCTCCAAGCTCAAAGCTTTAGCACCTGGCCGTTGACCAATGGGGCCTGCACTTCTGTAGCTCTGTGTGCCTTCTAACCTATTGGTAGACTTATCAGTGAGGCCCTGCTGAGGACAAGCGATTCTCTTCACTGCAAAAGTGGAGAGAGACGCAACACTATTTTACCCCAAACTAAAAAGACTAGGTTTCCTCCCAAGTTGTCTGCGCCAAGTTCATGAAAACCTTCAAAGATCAGGTCTCACCCCCCTGCCACCCCCATCTGTATCTTCCAGTGAGAAACCAGCAAGGAACGGAACCATCTTTGACTCAGTGACCACACAGCTAAAACCTTAGTACTCATCTCTGCCCTAGCTCTCTAATAATGTAAAAATAATACAACGACATGAAGAGAAATCAAATACACTTTGAGAAGTGGTCGAGGAAGACTAACCAAGAGGCACTGCACACAACCAAAGGCGTCTGAAAGGAGGGCTGGAACTCAGGTTTATGTCCAGTGCTTTCATTTACAATTAGAAGAGTCTATGGGGAAGGACATTTGCCCAGGGCCACTCACTCAGTGGGAAGCACAGCGACTTCCTGACCCCCAACCCAGTGCTTCTACTAAACTATATTCTGACCATGTACTCATTTGCTTTGCTGTCACTGCTGCTGTTCAATAGGCAGATGCCTTTAGACACATCTAGCTATGCCGCCACTCTAGGGAGGAGCCCTTCTTCAGGCAGATACTTTGTGTTCCATTGTCCCCTAGTCTCCTGAGACATTGTGCCATGGATGAAGAGGCTACCACGTGCCTTACCACTTTCAGAATATTTCATGAATATTCTGTGCATACACATGCCCATGAAATACAGATTATCACATGGAAGGGTGACCCCATGGCCTCAGGAGAGAGATGGGTGTTGAGACAAGGAGAGTTCAAGTCATAAAAGTCTGACATAGGACCTCCCTGTCACCATTCTAAGAAGCACTTCTTTTGTAAAACAGAGAGACTGGACTAGGTTGCCCCTTATGTCCTCATGAGCAATAACTAATACCCTACTGCCCTACAGCCTCTAAAATACCATATACTTCACATGAACTTCAAGTTCTATCCACAAAACTCAGCACATAAAATATATATTTGTGGAGAAGAAAAATGGATGAGTGTTAAACCTACAGCTTTTAGAACTGAAATAGCCAAATCTAACACCTGACTCTCGGACCTCTCCGAGTTTGTGTTGATCTCTCAAGTGCTTTGTGGTTGTTAAACACAACGTGTGCTCATGTTCCAGGTGTTCAAGTTTACCCCACAAATCAACTAATCCAAACACAAAGCAATAAAGAAACAAAGACAAGAGCAAGTGTTTTCATACCCCATGGCGATCCTCGAAGTATGCCAGGCTGGCTTTCGTTAGCACAAAGAAACGGACTTTGAAGTTCGAGGGAGAAGTCCTTCTCTTCTGTTGGGATTTCTTGATCAGCTGCTCTTCCAGGAGGATGAAGTTGTTCATGGTCCAGTTCTGAAAAGTGATGCGCCTTGGGCATCACCCCTCAGTGCAACCGATGGAGAGAAACAGCTGGGAATGCAACAGGATACAGTTGATCTGTAGAGTGTCGCTCAAAGGCAACTTGCCTCTACCCTTATCTCTCTATCAACATCAGCCAGCCTCACCACCGAGCTCCTCCTCTGATGTCAAAGGCCATGACCACATCCTTTCAAAATTCACCAAGCTAAGAAGCACATGCAAAAATATGCATATCCTTTGTGATATGGTTTGGAAATGAGGTTTAAAGAAACTTAGAATTATAAGAGGAATTCAATTTTCATTTTTATAGTTTCTGGTTGAGCCTCTGCAACATTTAAGACATATAGGAAAGGGAAAAAGAACAGGGCTCCAGGGGTTAGTGGAGCACAGCTCATGTATAAGTTTCCCATGGCTATCATGGATTGCCGCTGGCTTAGTGGCTCTAAGCACCTTACAATCCTCTAAGCACCATACAATTCTCTACTTTAGAAGTCTGAAATGTGTCTCACTGAGGGAAAATCCTGGTGACTGTACTTCTTTCTGGCAGGTATCTGGGGGACACTGTCTCTGTGACTGTCCTACTTTCTGAGAGACACCCAGGTGGCCTTGGTCTTGGCTCTCTTTCTCCATCTTCAAAGTCAACAGCTGTGGGCTTGAGTTCTGCTTGCTCCATATTGCTGCAACCCCCTCTGCCTCCTGCCACCTTCAAGGATCCTGAGACCCACCATGAAGAGTCTAGGACAGCCACCCTGTGGTAAGGTCAGAAGATGGTCACTGTAACTCCACTTGATATGGCAATTCCCCTTTGACACCCAATTTCATACAGTCACAGGTTGTAGGGATTAGGGCATGGAAAGATTTGTACAGGGCTGTGATTCTACCTACAAGCTTGAATTCTAGTGCTACCACCTACCACCTGCAGGATAGGTTGGAATTTCAGTTCTTCTCTGGAAGGAAGCAGTGGGGGCCTCGTATGAGGTGTCGGAGGACCCCTTTTTTGACTCCTCTGTCAGCCTCACGGTGGTTTTAATGGTGTCACATTAGGCTTCTGTGTCTGCCACTGCACAAATGCTTCATGCTGTGTCTGAATGTGTTTTCTTTGTTTCTTTCTGGTTAACTCTGAGGTGATATTGCCAGCCTCAGCCAACATGTGCTTCCTCTGGAGAGCCTTGCAGACCTTCCCACATGGAATCTTCTAGCCTAATTTTTCCTTGCTTATAAAGACCCTTACAAGGAGGCAGCTCGCAGAGACAAACAACAAGCTATTTCCTCATGAGGGTCTTTGGGAAGTGAATCTCATCTGCTCTGTGAGTAATGCATGTTACTTATGAGTCTAACCTAGAGTCAGGACAATGCTAAGATGTAGTACTTATATGAGGTTCACTGTGATGAGGAAGTTAGTCACCAAGAAGCCCCAATGCAAGCAGGGGAAGCACAGATCAGAGGGGGACAAAGGATAAGACAAAGTGTGGGAACACAGTTCTATAGTTTATTTTTAGATGTAAATTGCTAATTATAGTCTCCTTTCACATAATGTATTGGATGCTGTTGAATAATGGAAGCAAAGGGAAGGGAGGGAGGGCAGAAAGGTGAAGGGAAGGGAGGGCACAGTGAGGGAAGAGAAGAGAGGGGGAGGGTAGGAAAGGGAAGGGATATATTCTGAGATTTTAAGGCATGAAAATATAATGTACAAAAGAGGTAAACTTTTCAAAATACGGTTTGCGCAAAGATGATTTTTTTTTTCCTTCTCTCTCCTTTTCCTTTGGTAACTGATTACCTGAAGATTATCTGGACATGTGGTCTGCCTGAGTAAAGCCTACGCTATTTTTGGCCTTTCCAGTAACTTGGTAGAGTCATGCAACTCATTTCTGAACAAAAGAATCTGTCAGAAATGGAAGCGTCCTTGCGGGATGTGGTGGTATACACCTGTAATCTCAGCTCTTGGGAGGGTGTCTCAAGAAAAGAAGGGGGTTCTTTAATGGGAACTTTCCTATCTATCGCCCCCTTTCTCTTTCTATTATTATGGTATTGACTTGGTGGTTGGTACTGGAAGACTATATTATTATACTATATGATGTGGAGGCTCTATGTTAAGAGTGACTGATCACATGATAGGTGGAATCATGGATTTAATAATTCATACTTGCTGTGGAGCACCCGTTCCACACTCCATCTTAGACAAAAGGCTGATAATCACTGGATTATCTTCTTTTTTAATACAAAAAGAAATATACCATTAATATTTTCTAGGACCCTGTTACTGGCAGCATACCCAACTTTAACACTATGATGTATCATGTACTACCTTCTCAGTTACACTGTAAACTACTTTGGAAAGGGTAGATTGATGCCAGGCTGATTCAGGTCCAATGATTTACAGGTTTTACATAGCCCCTTCACCCGGGAAAGCAGAATATGGGGAACTGTTGTTTTCCATTTGCCCAGTCTCTATGTAGTACAATAAAACATAATTTTATTTTCTACGACACAGAACACTCCAAACCACTTCCTGGGATTAGTCTATGTCCACTCTACAGCATAATTTTAGAGCCCCAAGTATTTTCTCCATCATGTTAAGATACACAGTCCCTTTATTTGTATTTTGGTTTTAAAAGTTTGGTGTATAGAAGACTAATTCCCTACTGGTGCCTGTAACTAGCCCTAGGCTACATGGTGCTACCCTGTCTCAAAGGAAAGCAAACACAATTGCAAAGGAGGCTGGGGAGATGGCTCGGCGGTTGAGAGCATTGCTTTACAACATAAGGACTGGTGTTCAGGTACTGGTGTCCACATAACAAGTCAAGCACGGTCTACTGCATGCCTGCAATCTCAGTACTTTAAGGGGTTCCTTACCCCAGGCTCCTAGGGCTTGTTGGCTGCCAACCTGATTGAAAACCATGAGCTCCAGCTTCAAGGAGAGACCTTGCTGCAAACGAAGAATGCAGAGTGATAGATGAGGACACCTGAAGCCTTTATCTGGCCTACACATGTGCATATACACCACACACAGACACACACACACACAGAGACACAGACACACACAATCACAGACACATACAACTACAGACACACAGACACACAGAGACACACACACACAAAACCATAGGGCAAACAAACAAATAAATGACCAAGGATGAAAAACCCAACAACACAAAAGAGCTCCTACTCGCCAAAGACAGAACAGTTTTGGACACTAAAACCTCTAAGTGTGATGAGTGAAGTAAAGGTATTAAAACTACAGTTTTCAAAAGAAAACTGAAAAAGGCCACCCCAATGACTACTTTCAGAAGCTAATAAATAACCAACTTACTATTCTGGAAACTGAAAACAAAAACAAACTAGAACCTTCGGCCTTTCTTGAAGGACTGCATCTCAGTATAGTCATCGAATAAGGGAAGTGAAGAGGAAAAGAGAGAGCATCACTGTCTCCCAACCTGAATAGAACAATGAATGCAGACGATGGCCCTAGGTGGCTATTAAACTCTCCATGTCGAAACTCATAGGGAAATGTACAGCAGTAAGAAGCAGACAGCATCGTGTCGGGCTGACCACTCTTCACATGACAGAGAGACAAGCAGACACTGTGTGGCTTCTGTGTAATGTGATAGGAAGCAAGGAAACCGCCCACACGGACGCCTTGTGTAGAGAGAAAAAAGTCACGTATGAGTCTGGTCAGAGCTCTAGATCTACATCTGAGCTGCCAGGAAGCTCAAGAGATGAAGGAACATGGCAAAGAACAGGGAGGGATGTAACTGAGCAAGTCCAGAATACACCAAATGCCAAGGTCAAATGACCCAGGATCCCCAACAAATAAAGTGGGTGGGAACCTACAGACTAGAAAAAGACCTTAGGAGATGTTTCCAACGTGGGAGGAATTTGGATTCAGAGCCAAACAAATCAACTGTATAAAGGACTTATGAGCCATCTTGGGGCATTTAAACCCTGGGAGGAAACTGAGGAACTGCTAGGAAATGTTTAGGCAAGCTAATGACACTACTGTCTGAAAAGAGTGATCTCCACAGGTGTGCACTAAATGATTGATAAAACAATCAAATCTGAATTCTGCTTTATTATAACGCAATGAAGTCCAGGGAAGAGAAGTAGGGAGAGAAATGGTGTCCCTGAATGGACAATGGCTGTGGCTGGGTGATGGACACCGGGGTTGTTATTGTAGTCTTTACACTAGCATCTGTTTGAAGTTTCTATAATGGACACTTCAAAGGAGCCAGTCCAGTTCCTGTTGATGATCAAAACTCTAAGAACAGGGCTGGAGAAATGGGTCGGCAGTTAAAGGCATGCACTGTTCTTGAGGAGGACCAAGTTTGGTTTTCAGGATCCAGATTAGGTGCTCACAAATCCAACTTCAAGCCATCAGGCAACCTTGTCTAGACTCCATGGGCATCTGTACTTACATTCACATATCCACGCAAAGACACATATGCATGCATGCATGCTGGCACATGCACACACACACACACACACACACACACACACACACACAGAGTGAGGGGGGCAGGCCTGCACACAGGCACTAAAATAAAAGGCAACAGAAAACTCTGAACACATAGCCCACACACTGCTTTTCTTCAGCATCAGCTGGACTTGCTTTGGCAAACACACTGACTTTGCCACTGTCCGTATTCTACCTCTTCCTCCTCCCTCAGGCACCACCTGGATTTCTGCTGCGCTTCTTCAGGCTCAGGCTGGTGGGAAGAAGAAAGGGAAGCACAGGCAAGGAACTCAACATGATAACAGGGGCAATCCTGGGTTGGCCCCCTCGGGGTGTGATGCAGACACACAATGTTTCTTTTCTTTGTGGCAAAATCTAGTCCCAAGTTTTGTTGTTTTCAAGATTTTTCTGCTCAGGGCTCTTTGGAAGTTCACTGGTCCCACTCCCTGCTGTTCTCTGACTTTTACATCTCTGCCCACGACTCCAACACTCCTGCCTTGTCACTGCAGATAGACACATGTCCCTAGGACACCCC